ATATGGTCAGCTATCGAGTTTAACCTATTCGTAGCCACTTTGGTGAAAATTTTGAAGCTGACATTAAGGAGGCATATGGGTCTGAACTGTTGGATCCGTTCGGCCTCCTTAATCTTTGGCAACAAGACAATCTCACCAAAATTAAGTCTGAATAGGTCAAGTCTGTTGGAGTGAAGACAATTAAACAACTCCAAAAGGCCAGACTTTATTATATCCCAGAAATTCTGATAGAATTCTGCGGGGAAACCATCTGGACTTGAAGCTTTGTTATGTTCCATTTGGAACACCGCAGCTCTCACCTCCTCTTCAGAGAATGGTGATGTAAGGATATCGTTTTCTTCTGTCGCGACTTGTGGAATATCATCTGTTCGGGTCTCATCAAGGGTGAAGTTCCCTTCGGCGGTCGCCCCGAACAGAGATTTGTTGTAGTTGGTGATATACTTTTTGAGCTCCTCCTGACCTTCGATCCGCCCCTCATCTAGTTGGAGACTGTAAATACATTTCTTCCTATGCCGCCCATTGGCGACCAATTGGAAATATCTTGTATTACTATCACCCATCAGAATGAAATCAGCTTTGGATCTTTGGTAGTATTTGATCTCTTCTTCTCGCAAAAGACGTCCAACCTTCTCATTAGATTGATTTTTCAATTCAATCTCTTGTTGAGATAAGGTGCGCGTCTCAGCAATTTTGTCGAGGTCATCAATAATGGTATAGAGCCGTTGTTTTTCTTTTTTATATATCATGTTGGTGTGTTTCGCCCATCTAGTGAGGTGTTGCCTCATGGCCCTTATTTTAAAGTTCCATCTGTGAATACTTGTACGACCAACAGCAGGCCTCTCCCAAACATTCTTGATTATGTCTACAAATTCTTCCCGATGCATCCATCCCAATTCAAATTTGAAAGGACGACGTGCAGCTTGGTTCGTAGAGTTGGAATCTAGAATGATGGGTGCATGATCTGATAATGCCTCGATACGCTCTAGGGCTCGTACGGTTACCAGAGGAAATTTTAGTTCCCATTCGGTATCCATGAGTACCCTACCAAGCTTCTCATATGTCGACACAGATCGATTATTAGCCCATGTGAACTGACACCCTGACATACTCGCCTCCCGAAGATCCAAACTGTCTATCACAGTGTTGAATAGGAAGGGCCAATGAGTGCCGAAGCGGTCATTATTTTTCTCTTCCTGGTATCTAAGGATATTGAAGTCCCCTCCAATAAGCATTGGGTATGGGTTATCCTTAGCCAGGTTTACCAATTCCCGAAGGAAAGCCGGTTATGCTCATCTTGGGCAGCCCCATAGTCTGCGACTAGAGTCCATGTAAAATTGTCAGCTCTATTTCTTAGGTGATATTTTATATGAAATTCACCAATCGAAAAGGCCAACAAGTCCATGACTGTTGTTAGAATACCAAGAAGAATTCCTCCAAACCTTCCATGGGCTAGTAGACTATGCCATGCATAGTCGAAACCACCTGATAGGTGGTCGAGGACATGTGGGCAAAAATCACACTTACCAGCCTCGGAAATTGCCACAAAATCCAGTCCATGTTCCCTTACACAATCACCGACGTGCTTATGTTTAGCCAAGTCCAAGAGACCTCTGCTATTCCAAAACATGCCTTTCATGGGGAAACTCGGATCGGTATGGAACTCTTCACCTTCTTGGGCGGTTTTTGTTTCTTTTTAGAGGAGTGTGATTTAGATTTCCGCGAGGACGCTGTAAAGTCACAAAACATGGGCCCAGGTCTTGCATAATCTAATCCAACCTCGGTAACCTCACCAACCAAGTGGGATATAAGCGGACCATCATATTTGGCATCTGCTTCATCCTCCTCCTCGGTTTCGGGGTTAGGTATGGAGGCATTACACTTCGGAGAAACCTTTAATCGGTTAATCTCCATATGTTTAAGCACCCCAACCGATATATTAATTTCATTATCATTCTTTCCAATAGAGCATCCAACATTCTTTAAGGTAGAAGAAATACGTGAATCTGAAAAGGAAAGAAAAGATTTTCCGGATAAGTTACCTGGAACGGTGTCCAAATTACATGCAACCTGATGTCGCATTGCCTTGTCCATAGCATGTTCGTCGGTCGGAGAAGAAATGTCAACAGAGACGGGGTGACGGTTACTACGCCGAAGAGGAGAGCTTCCCTCGGACATAAGGGCCACCCGTGTCACTAGGCGATCCGTCGACAATGATGAAGCAACAGCGAACATGGTAGGTGTTGAAGACGAAGTAGGTGTAGACAGATGAACACATGGCGCCATCTGTGTAGCATCGTGAGACGGCCTGGAAGACTGCAGACCAGCCTGCGTGGGTGTGCTGACCACAGTAACAGCCGACTGCTGAACCTGCACGTCCATCAGAATAGAAAGGGTATGCCATTCCAAACAACTAAGGACCTCCACACAACACAACCATTAATTCCATATCTGAAGAAGGCCCGTGCATCCTCTCCTGGCTCAAAAGATGACGCACCGTTGGAAGATGGAGATGTTCCCCATAGAACATGAATGGATGTCGCCGGAATGTGCCACATAAAAAGGAACAATGCTGAAATTGGCTCTCCTTGAGTAGAGCAATACATCCGCACATGACCAAATCATAGATAAAGGAAAATGTTCAGGTCGGATGAAGCAAGGAAATAGCATTGAGCCGTGGGAAGCTCCGAGTACCAAGGAGACATATCTGACACCGTCAGGAGGAGCTTTGGCTCTCGTTCCACGCCATGATGTAGCCATTGGTGGAGGGAACCCCTATCTCCTCCCACCATGGAACACAACCACAAGATGCATGAATAGACACACATCGGTCACACAGAGAGCACCGAATGAGGTTTCACTATCGAGCTAAAGCATTGGACGCAAAGAACCACGCCACTGCCGCCGCCTACCATAACCCATCAGCGCACAACAACCACAAAGCTCCCAAGGTGGCGCCTTAATGAAGGACACGATGACAAGAGCACAACCACCACCCAACGAAGTTAGAGTTTTCTCTCAGAAGACTACATGGAGGGGATGGGAGGAGTAGACCTGATATGCACCTCCAAGGAGGGAAACGACACCCTCAACATCGCTGCTGTCACGGTTGGTCAAGGCCGACCTAGACTCCCAGTTTGTACTCCCCACCAGCAGCACCCCCTTTAGTTCGGGAATTGGCAACAACTTAAGCATGATCCAGATTCAGAGGGGAAGGAGTGCACTGAGTAGGGAGGGGTAGGAGATGACCAAATCAGACGCTATCGCCCACCGGGGCAGTCACCGTGCCATGACCCACGTCTTACGGGATCACGTCGTCTGCACAAGCAGGTTCATTGGAACCACACCCACACCGTCGCTCGCCGCTAAGATGATGGTGCCTCACCAATAAAAGGTTTCTACAAAGTCTGGACATCAAGTTGTAGGGACTGTAACTTTAACACACCAGTGTCTGAGGAATTGGAAAGTTTTTCCATCCAAAGATCATAGAATGCAAGATTCCATATAAGTGAATGAATACGAGAGGAGATTAAACTAGGTTTTTTCTCCCTTAAAGGATGCCTCGGTGCCATAGAGCTCCTCTTGTGCACAACGTCTTGGTACGTCTGATGTAGCTTGTCTCGCTCCTCTGGCTTTGCTCTGGCGATCATTTAATTGATTTTGTTTTACTCTAACTTTTTAATATTGGTGTCACTAATAGTTTCGTTTTACTGATGGCTCCGATGTACAAATAGGTAAACAAAAATTTCCTCGACCTGTCCGTTGCTATATGCGAGCTCAAAGCGGTGAAAACCCTAACGACCAATCCCCTTCCCTCCCGTCCTCGAGCCCCGACCCACTACCTCCCATCTCTGTCTCTCCTCCTCCCATGTTCTCAACCACCACCACGTCCCTCCACCCCCCCATTCGCTTATCTCTCATCATCTACTCTCAAACCCTAGTATGTTGTTGTACCGCCTCTCCTCCCGTCTCACCGTCGACGGTCTCTAGGCTTCTTCCTCTCTTCTTCTCACAATTGCACTTTTTTTTTCAATTATCGCATAAGTGACCCAATGAATCTAGAAAGAAAAGAAAAAAAGGACAAAAGGAAATGCTTCCATGAATTTTAGCGTACAATCAATGACATAGAACTTAGATGTGTAATACTTAGAGCACATCTAAAAAAAATACTTATAGCACATCTAGATATGTTTTAGCAAAACTGTTAAATAAAAAAGATATGCATTTTTATTCACGTGTAATATGCTACCTCCTCCTGTCATGTGTTATGTTATAAAATTATGGTCCATCTGTACTCATATTTACATTCATGTTGTCAAATTGTGGCATGTACATTATGATAGGGACAACATAACTAAAACTATCTGTAGTTACAACTAAGAAAAAGTTGTGACATGCAAATAACTCTTGGTTTAAATCGGGACCTTGTACCATTCTGCGTAATGGGTCATTCTAGTGAAAAGAAACGGATGAATTGCTTATGATCGATGAACATCGCAAATGTGTGGGAGATTGGGAGAGGAAAGATATGATGTACCTCGTGCTTAGTGTGATTTGTAACTGATCATTTCCGGCATTGGAAAAAAAATGCTCCCTCTCTCAATTCTTCTTCTTCCATTTTTTTTAGAACCATGGATATACAATTTTCTTCTTCCATTTGTGTAATAATTTAATATCCATTTGTGTCATACCGTATATTAGAATCAACAAGGGAATCCATATATACCTAATTTGTGTTGTTTAAAATCAATCAGTCAGTCAGTGCTATTGGCAAGACAAACACATCCTGCAGAAAATAGGAAAACCTTTACAAGTTATCAGCTAGTTCCTAAAATGGAGATTTCCATGATCTATTGCCATATACTACTAGCTGTTTCGCTTACCCTAGTATTATTATGCGGCCTTGTGCATCCAGAGTAGATCGATCTGTATAGCATCACGTACTGTGCTCGTACTGATCTTCTATCTGTTCAAATCCTCACAAGATATCTGGATCAGGAACAATGGCCATTCTCCTCTTCTTATTTTTCACATCCATTTTATCCATTTCCTACTCTTCGCCATTGCCGGTCAATGCCTCCGGTAACATATCAGCGCGCCGGCAAGCCGGTTGCGGCACCGGCAACCCGGTCGACGACTGCTGGCGGTGCGACCCTTGCTGGGCCGACAACCGGCAGCGACTCGCCGACTGCGCCATCGGGTTCGGCCGCAACGCCATCGGCGGCAAGGGCGGCAGGACATACGTGGTGACGGACCCCGGCGACGAGGACCCGGCCAACCCCGCCCCCGGCACGCTCCGCTACGGCCTCGTCCAGGACGAGCCCCTCTGGATCATCTTCGCCTGCAACATGACGATCCGTCCCAAGCGGGAGCTCGTCGTGAGCTCCCACAAGACGGTGGACGGCCGCGGCGCCAGCGTCGTCGTCGGCGAGGGCGGCGCGTGCTTCACGGTGCGCAACCGGAGCAACGTGATCATCCACGGCATCACCATCCGCGGCTGCAGGCCGGCGCCCAAGTCGTCGGCGAGGACGGGCCACCTGTCGGACGGCGACGGCGTCAGCATATTCGGCGCGAGGGACGTGTGGGTGGACCGCTGTACGCTGGAGGACTGCGCCGACGGCCTCGTGGACGTGATCGCGGCATCCACCGGCGTGACCGTCTCCAACTGCCTGCTGACCAACCACAACAAGGCCATGCTCCTCGGCCACAACGACGGCTACGAGGACGACAGGGCCATGCGCGTCACCGTCGCCTTCAATCGCTTCGGGCCGGGCCTCGTGCAGAGGATGCCGAGGTGCCGGTTTGGGGTGTTCCACGTCGTCAACAACGACTACGTAAACTGGGGGAAATACGCCATCGGCGGCAGCGCATCGCCGACCATACTTAGCCGAGGCAACAGGTTCTGTGCCGGCAAGAAGAAAGAGGTGCTGCTCCTGTGTTTCATGGCGTACGTCGTGCCCTCGTCTTATGATGAAGCTGACCGTACGAACTCTGCCATCTCTGCAGGTGACGAAGCGCGACGGCGACCCGCCCAAGAGCGAGTGGCAGAAGTGGAACTGGATATCCGACGGCGACCTGATGTTCAACGGCGCGTTCTTCACGGCGTCCGGCGGACCGGGGGCTGAGGTTAAAGCCCCCAGTTTTGCCAAGCCCGCCTCTTTCGTGGCGCCGATGACGGCCTCCGCAGGCGCTCTCTCGTGCAGCAAGGGTTCTCTATGCTGAAGCGCTCTAGGCTAGACAGTCACGTAGAATAAATGGCCACCACGTAGGATTCTTTTATTTGTCCACTGCACCAGTAGAGCCTATATAGTCCTGGGAAAAGTAGGTTATACTTGATTTGTTATCAATTCCTCCTCTGTAACGTCCTACAAATTTGGGTGGTTTGAGAATCTTGAATATTGACAAGTTTGCACGGGCTTTAAGTCTGCGATAGTTATGGTTCACCTGGATGGACCGGCGGGCATGGATTGGTCTTGAAATACTACCATATTAAGAAACAGTATAATGGATTGAGCTACGGCTGCTCACAGCGTTTTGACGTCCGTGACCGCTTGATTAGATCGATCGGTTGTCCTCGAGCCTTGCATGGTGGTTCTAGGGCCGCTGCTCCATAAACTTACCTAGGCCTGTTAGGGTATGTACAATGGTTGATAAGACAGTATTATTTTAAGTCTTGCATGCAATTTAAAGATGACAAAAAAAACGTCTACAACAAGTCATGTCTTAGTCTTATTTTTTATAACTAGCTATTCCTAAAAATATGGTGAGACATATTGTGCTAAGAGATCATCTCTTGTCTTCTCTTAAATAAGAGAAGACAAATCTTTTCTTACGAGTTTTCTCTCCTCCACCTCATCATTTATTCTACGTGGCACTCCTAAGATAGCATTATTGTACATGCCCTTATGGTCGATCGGGCTGGAAATAAAAGATGGGCCGGACCTGGCCTGGTGGTACTCAACGGGGGGATAACACATCTCCCTTGCGAGCCTCCTCTTTCTGGCCCTGCATACGTACTAGAGATTCCTCGGTCGGCTGGTCACCAGTCTACATATTATTGAACGATAAATTTATTTAAATCTACATCTAGCCTGGCGCAAGTACTCATGTCCTCTCACATTTCACACGTCACCAGAGAGATCTATCGTGTATACTACACAACCAACTCTTGATGCTTTTTCTGGCCACCACCGGTAGAACCAAATACATACATGTATTTTTCATTTTTGATATAATTTGCAAAAATTAAATAAAATTTGATCAAAATTTTGATTTCTTTGAACGATTTTGTCTTTAAAATAATCGAGAGTTTTCCAAGATTATTGTCTTTTTACCGGAATCCGCAATTCAGGAGTTTTAGAAAATGAAAGTGCAACTATCCCTGGATGGTTTTGGTAATTCCTAACAACATATAGCTTACTGAGCTAATGCTATTCCAAAATAAATATTTCAGGAAAGCTCAATGTTAGGCATGGCATAGATTAGAAAAGTGAATCCTTCAAAATGCTAAGGACAAAGGATTGACTCAAGCTCAAAGCACAAGACTCTACATTTTCTATTTTAGTGGTCCAAGATCACATTGAGTCTATAGGAAAAATCAATACTATTAAGAAAGGATGAGGTGTTGCTTAATGAGAATCTTGATCAAAATGCCTAGTGGTATGCTCCAAAACCCTCCACTACTTTCTCACTTCCACATATGTCCTAAACCAAAAAGTACAACTCGGCCCCCACCGAAGTTTCACATCCGGAGCCACCGAGTTCAATTGACATAGCCACTGCCAGAAACCCTAATCAATTCGGTCTCACCGATAGGGATCTAGTTCTCACCGAGACGGGGTTGCAAACTCTCTGTTTCCCTTCGTAACGTTTTGATCTAACCGAGATGAGTGATCGGTCCCACCGAGATTGCAATGCAAACTCTCTGTTTCCTTTTCGTAATGTTTCGGTCCAACCGAAAGAGCGAATCGGTCCCACCGAGTTTGCCTGACCAACTCTCTGTTTGGCTATCACCAAAATCGGTCTCACCGAGTTTGTGTAGTCGGTCTCACCGAGATTACGTTATGCCCTAACCCTAGTGACATCGGTCCCATCGAGTTGACATGTCGGTCCCATCGAGAATCCTAACGTTCACATTTTGAATTTAATCGGTCCCACCGAGTTTAATGATTCGGTCCCACCGAGTTTGGCGATTTGTGTGTAACGGTTAGATTTTGTGTGGAGGCTATATATACCCCTCCACCCACTCTTCATTTATGGAGAGAGCCATCAGAATATACCTACACTTTCAATACATATTTTCTGAGAGGGAACCACCTACACTTGTGTTGAGGTCAAGATATTCCATTTCAACCACATAAATCTTGATCTCTAGCCTTCCCTAAGTTGCTTTCCACTCAAATCTTCTTTCTACCAAATCCAATCCTATGAGAGATAGTTGAGTGTTGAGGAGACTATCATTTGAAGCACAAGAGCAAGGAGTTCATCATCAACATACCATTTGTTACTTCTTAGAGAGTGGTGTCTCCTAGATTGGTTACACTACTAGAAAAACCCCTACTAATGGCGCACCTAATATGGCCATTAATGGCGCATCTGTGGTGCGCCATTAACAGCACGCCATTAGTAATTTTTACTAATGGCGCACCACCTGGTGCGCCATTAGTATAGGCCCGGTGCGCCATTAGTATGCCTCCCAGGGGCCATGTATACCCAGGTGCTTTGGCATACTAATGGCGCACCACCTCCGGATGCGCCATTAGTAACCGCGGCATACTAATGGCGCACTGCCCAGTGATGTGCCATTAGTATGCACTGTCATACTAATGGCGCACTGTCATGTGATGTGCCATTAGTATGAATATTAGGTTTTTTTTATTTTTTTATTTTCTGTTTTTTGCACAGGTTACAAAATGTATAATTTGACAAAATATAGACAGCACACATCAACAACAGATTCATCAAATACAATAGAAGATTAGTCTTTGAATACAATTCATCATATTAGTCTCCGAATACAATTCATCATATTAGTCTCCGAATTGAAAAGACCGAACAAAGATAGAACATTATATTACAAGTCTCGAGACCGCGAGTAGCGAGTCTGTCTTCACATTACAAGTCGATATCGATCATCTAAACTACCATCACATAGAAGAGAGCTGCGGTCATCACGATGAGCATCATCACGATGAAACTCATCTTCATCCGGTTCCTCCAACGCTCCCTCCCCTCTCCCGCTAGATAGCGGGCGTATCTAGATTCGGCCTCGGCCCTAGTGGTGTACCCTTTGTAACTGTTACCGCTGAATCGGTGAACCTGTCTCCGACACTCCTCCCAGTCATCGTAGACTCCGGGAACCTTACCCTTGTACACGACATACGTCGGCATCGCTATGCACTAGCCAAACGAAACGTTAGTACCAATTCATAGACAATACATAAGCAATATATAATTATGCAACAGAACGATCGGAAGAGAAAAGCAAGACATTAATAGCATCGATTACATCTAAGTTGAACGACTCTCGAAACCAAAGAGACATACTACAAGTTCATTAAAGTTTAATTACAACATGAGCCAATCGATGTTTCAGAACTAGACAACTCGACTCAAGGGACCGGAGCGTGGATGAAGCCGCCGTCTATCGTGGGAGTCATGAAAGAACGGGCGTTGTCATCCTGCATTTGTAGCATTGTGTCGATGTCACTGTTGGACGGTTGATTTCTGAGGTAGAACTGCCCTGAGGTACGAAGGACATCTTGATGGATGATTTCCGCAAACTCCGACTGGATGCGAAAGAATTCTTGTCGGAGGTCCGCGTCCTGGATTGCCGACACGCTCGCGGCCCAATCTTGGAGTTTACTCGGTAGCAGAAGTTGATGATGGTCCCGTACGATCGCCCGCATGTGATGGATGGCGTAGTAGGCACCCTTCTGACCGCCAGGCGGCTGCTTGACGCAGCAGAACGTCGTATTGTGGGAGAACACGTGCTTGCCGTACTTACGAATAGGCCTGGTGAAGGTGCCTCCAGATTGGGCGTAGCCGGGGAGAACATCATCAAGAACCTTCTTGACATTTGTGTAGTCTACGTTCGACTGACGGTCCGGGTCGAAATACGTGGCCATGGAATATTTGGGGCTTAGGAGGATGAGCGTGCAACGTGTGTCACTGCAGAAAACACGGAATGTTAAAAGAAAAACGATCGAAATGTAAGAATTCATATGTTACGGGCCGGTTGAGGGGAGGACTTACTCGGGAAAGTAAGGCACGAGGAAGTTATCCTTATCTTGGTTTGCTAGAATGACGCCTTCGAGGTAAGAACTCGCGACTTGCCGGTCCCCAGCGCTGCCCAAGATCTTGGCACGCATGTAGAAGGGGTCGACTATCACGATGTCCGGGGTCTTGTCGCGAATGATTCGCATCTCCATACTCAGCGAAAATAGCCGAACGAAGGTGTAGTGCAGCGGATGAAGGTTCAACATAGCGTGGATGTCATCAAAACGCAGGACGATCGTACGCCCAATGGAGTTATCCACAAAGCCCTTGCCCTCTGGCACCTTGGCCGCGAAAACCGGGTATGCCACATCCTTCTCTCTGAGACGCCGCTTCTCCAAAGCAAGAACACTGTCATGTAGACTCCGCATAGCACCGGTTGCAGCATTGAGCATATTTGTCGGTAGCATCGCCCTACCCGCCACATGCACCCTCCTCGAGATATCCTGCGGTGAAGGTGGCCCGTCCTGAGCACGGATCGTACTCGGTGCCGGCTGGCTCGCACCCTTCTTAGTCTTTCTTTTGCGTGCCTTCTTCTTCTCCTGTAATGGGACCGAGTTCTGCTCACAGACCGCCTTCTTGAGTGTGTTGGGGCTGATAATATTTCGCACCTCGCCTATCTGAGGCTTGGTGAAGTCGGCAGCTGGAGGCGTCTCCTGAGAGCTGAACGCTAGACGGCGCCTATTGCAACTTGGCTTCTCCGCGGTACGAGCTAGATCGCACACGTCTTTTGTTGGGTTTGGTTCTTGAGAAGGAGGCCCCATGAAGTCGCCATCGTACCCATGCTCGGCAAAGTACTGATCCACGTTGCCAAATGTATCATCGTCGTCGTCGTCGTCGTTCTGATCCTG